TATATACAAAACGGCCCGACGATTTGCCTTTGTGGTCCCTTGGACCCCTCCATGTTCTACGTCAGCCTCCTCTTCATAAGTTTGGAGGATCTGTGTGGAGTGGGACCTCGGAAGATGGGCTTGAGTGCCTGACCATGTTAAGGATCGTGAGTGTTGACTGGAAGTCTCACTGTTTGGTTCGGCCACCAAGTGAGAGACACCTTGACATGTTTTGTGAAGTTTCCTGCCTGGTGTACAAATGACTGCTCTGGGTTTGGCTCTACTCTCATCTCCTGATCAGGAAGATGCCACCCTGGAGTACCAGTTGCTTGCTGGATTACCGCAGCAGAGGCACAGGCCTGTTTGTGCAGGCTTTCACAGTGGACATTGTGTGCAATTCTTGCATTGTAATGTGTATTGTTTTTAAAAGCCACTAAAATTGTAAATAGTTACACCCTTGAGTATATGGGTATGGTTAAAATGCTTTTCTAAAAAATTCTGCAATCTGTTGTAAATAACAGTAAAGTTATTACTGTAAATAACAGTAAAGTGAAGAGTAGTTATTGTGCTGGGAAATATGTAGCATTTCTAGTAGTCTTGCTTACCGCCTTCAGACTTAAGCAATATACTTTTTACTAGCCGTATCCTGAGGGACACGGCTAGCTTTTGTGAGACTTCGTCTGGAGGTGGGGGTGTTATGGGGCTATAGGACCCAACATGTATTTATAAGTAACAGCTACTCTGGAATACCTAATTATATTGAATTGAAGGGGGCTCAGTTCTAAATGTCATAAGGGCTGATCACCCTTAGGACTGAGAGGCAGCTGGGTCAAGCCTTTTTTCTCAATATAATAGGTTATACTATAGACACACAAACACACAATTTAAATAAGTAGTTTATAAAGTTGTATTTCTTTTTGTAAAAGTAAAATTAAAGTGTGGTAGAATTGTGGTAACAAGAGAATTGTGCTTGGCAACAGTCTTTTGTTTTGGTGGGAGGAGTTTAGCTAGGCTCCTCCCTCGCCCTCTCTCTCTCTCTCTCTCTCTCTCTCTCTCTCTCTCTCTCTCTCTCTCTCTCTCTCTCTCTCTCTCTCTCTCTCTCTCTCTCTCTCTCTCTCTCTCTCTCTTTTTTTGTTGACATGGAGGTGCCAGGACCTCTGGGTTCATTTTTCTATCTTTTTGGGGCATTATGTGTGCTCCAGGGGTGAGTTTTTATAGCTTAAGTTGTAGCCACCATACCCAGGGTGACTAAAGTGTGTCAAGACACTGGTTAGCCCAGAGTTAGTCAAGAAGAGAGAAGGACAAAATTGCTGAGATGCACCATGTAGGAGAACAGCTATGGAGTGTGTAGATTTTTGTTTTGAAAATGTGAGGCTGTAATTGTATCTTCTGTACATATCTATTTAGAATACATGTACAGTTATATTTTTATAGTAGTAGTTTACATAACCTGTGAAGAGGGCTGGTGAAAAGATATCAGAGACACTCAAGATGATCAGCCATGATGTAAGTATTACCCCTAGACAGATAAGGCCATTAAGTAAAAAGCTACCCCACACTAGAACATGTAGTGAGAACCTTACTATCAAAGTAATAAGGGACATAATAAGACATACCAACGTAACACCATATCCCCTTTAAAATCAGGCATAATCACGGACAACACTACAGGCCACTACCCAACCTTTCTCATAACTAATCTGGGCAAACTACCACAAGACATTACTAAAGTAACCTTCAGACAACGTAACAAGACAGCAGTTAACAACTTTATAGCAGCTATGAATAACATCGATTGGCAAAATGAGCTCAAAACATATACAGATGTGAATGAATGTATAAATAATTTTCTAAAAAAAGCCCAAAGCCTCTATAACAAACATTGCCCCCAAAAAACTAAACAGATCACAGCAAAGAGACTGAATAATCCCTGGCTAACACCAAGCATACTCAAGTCCATTAACACAAAGCACAAATATGAAAAACAGTATAGAATGAGTCAAATAACTAGAGAACAGTCTAAATGTTACTCGTCAGCACTTACCAGCCTGACAAAAAGATCTAAAAAATTGTATTATGAAAACAGACTACATAACATCAAAGGTGATATGGAAAAAACCTGGCAAACTCTATATGAAATTCTTGGAAATAAAAAGTTATTTATTTATTCATTTACTTATTTATTTTATGTCTTTGCAAACAGTAAATTGAGATTTAATATTTACAATAGTGGGTTGCAATGCAAAGAGAGCCTCTATTATGCCTAGGCATTATGGGCCAACTAACATTATTGGCTTACAGTCTACTTAACACTAAGGAGTATATCATAGTTGTACAGTAGGATAGTAATTATTTCGTAGTTGTACAGTAGAATATTAATTATGAATGAATCAAAATTTCTATAATACAAAGATATATTTATATTCGAACATACTTTCTGAGAAAACAATGATTCAATTATTTTCCTGTCAACAATGGATAAAAGGTTCAAAGTGATTGTTTCATTTATGATGTGTGTACTGAGTATTTAGCATTTAGTCTAGGGTGATTAAGTGGCTTTTCAGAAGAGTTGATTTTCAGACTGGGTTACTTTAATATCTTCTGGTAATGAATTCCATATTTTGGGGCCCTTTATGTGCATAGAGTTTTTACACAGTGTGATAAGGACACGAGGTATATCAAAAAGAGATCTGTGTCTTGTGTTGTGGTCATGTGTCCTGTTTAGGTTGGTGAGGAGAAGTTTGAGTGGGGGGTTTATATTTGTGTGTATTGTTCTGTGTATGTAGTAGGCACATGAATAAGTATGGATGTTCTTAATGGTGAGCAGATTCAGACTTTTGAAAATTGGTGGAGTATGCTGGCGGGAGTGGGAATTTGTTATCATTCTTACTGCTGCCTTTTGCTGGGTTATTAGGGTTTTTAGGTGATTGGATGTTGTTGATCCCCATGCACAAATTCCATATGTAAGATAAGGGTATACGAGTGAATGGTACAGTGCCAGGAGAGCTAATTGTGGAGCGTAGTACCTTACCTTTTATAGTATGCCTACAGTCTTGGAGATTTTCTTGGTGATTTGTTGTACGTGTGTCCGGAACTTAAGGTTACTGTCAAGGTGGATACCTAGGAATTTTCCCTCTGAGTCTTGTGACTGATGATCCATTTAGCGTTATGTTAACTGGATCATTTGCAGCTGTGTTTCCAAACTGAATGAAATAGGTTTTATCAGTGCTCAGGGAAAGTTTGTTAGTCATCATCCAAGCAGATATTTTCTGTAATTCAACATTGACTGTGTTTGCTAGTATGACTGTGTTTGGTTGGGAAGACATATGTAGTGTCATCTGCAAATAATATGGGTTTGAGTAGCTGTGATGCATTTGGTAGATCATTGATGTAGATGAGAAAGAGGAGTGGTCCATGGACGCTTCCTTGTGGGACTCCTACTGTGATTGGTTGGGTGGAAGAGTTTCCATCATTTGCATACACATACTGAGTTCTGTTACTAAGGTATGACTTTAGGTAGTTGAGGGAGTGGCCTCTGATACCAGAGTGTGTTAATTTGGAGTACAGCAGTTCATGGTCGACTGTATCGAAAGCTTTACGTAAATCAATGAAAATGCCCAGCGGGACTTCTTTCTTTTCGAGTGCGGTATATATTAGTTCTAGCATGTGTATGATAGCATCATTTGTGCTTTTATTATTCCTGAATCCAAACTGACAAGGGTTTAATATGTTGTGTGCAACGAGGTAGGAATAGATCCGTCTATGAATTAATTTTTCAAAGATTTTAGAGAGCAGTGGTAAGTTAGATATTGATCTATAGTTATTCAAGTCAGCTTGGTCACCTTTATGGATCGGAGTGACCCCTTCGCTATTTTGAGGATTGTTGGGAAGGTAGATGATTCAATGGATTTGTTATAGAGTGTTGCAATAATTGGTGAGAATACTTGAAAAGCTTTTTTGTACATAAAAGCAGGCAAGTTGTTTATGTCTCCTGCCTTGTTTTTAAGGGTGTTTATGATGAGCGTAACTTCAATGGGGTTGGTTGGAGCTAGGAATAGCGTATTTGGGTAGTTACCTATGAGGTAGTCTGATGGACGGGTGTTTGTGCTTGGTATTTTGTTTGCTAGGTTTTTTCCTATGGTGGAGAAGAAAACACTAAGTCTGTTTGCTGTTTCAGTTGGAGTGAGTAGGGGTTCATTTGATTTTGTTAGTTTGATTGTTTTGTTTTTGGATAACTTTTTAGTTCCAAGAATTTCAGATAGAGTTTTCCAGGTTTTTTTTCATATTACCTTTGATGTTATGTAATCTATTTTCATAATAAAATTTTTTTGACCTTCTTATCAGGCTGGTAAGCGCTGACGAGTAACTTTTCGGCTGTTCTCTAATTATTTGACTCATTCTATACTATTTCTCATATTTGTGCTTTGTGTTAATGGATTTGAGGATGCTTGGTGTTAGCTAGGGATTATTCAGTCTCTTTGCTGTGATCTGTTTAGTTTTTCTGGGGCAATGTCTGTTATAAAGGCATTGGGCTTTTTTTTTTTAGATATCTCCCCAAAAAGCAAATATTCCTACATGGATTTTTTGGGTTCTTAAAGAAACATTTTTTTATTTGGGGAAGATGATAATAAAGATTGATTTTTATTCTTAATATGTTTTTAAGAGGTTGTAATATCACATACAATTTTTTATGTGGCTGTTTAATGCATGTGCGCACTCATGTTTTTCGATAGAAATCAGTCAAAAAATGCAAGGAAAAAATAAGTTTTGGTAAGTTATAAATTGTTTAATAAGGGTTTTGGACATCAGCATATATCAGTTGTCTATTAATTTAGACTGTCTGGGGCACTGACCTGGCCAGACTGTGGTGCTCCACTCTACCTTGTATACCAGTCACTTCCTTTTCTCATTCTGCTCTGTTTAGCTTGTGGAGTAACCAACACAAATTCTGAGGTAAGCAACTTATGAACTGCTATTTCTTCAAACTACAATGAACCTATAAAAACAAAGTGTTGACTTACCTGTGCATCATACTCAATCAAGTAGAGGAAAAGCACATCTTCTCGCTGAAGCCTGATAGCAGCATGTAAGGGGTGGTTGGTCTTAGACTTAAACATGGCATACAACAAAGGGGCAGACATGTGAGAGAAGTCATCTGCAGTGAAATCATTCTGAGGAGAAGAGAAAGAAAATACACTATTATTATAATGAATGCAATAACACACAAACACACTTCTGCTTCAAATATTAATGATGGCCTCAGTAAAGCTTTTTTTTTAACCCTATAAGCTCCACCTGCAAGTGCAGGTGCAGCTTATAGGTGATAAAGTGATAAAGTAATGTTCCTTTATATTAATATTATTCTGGCCATGATGTACTTATGTGCTTTGGTACATGCTTAGATAAATCAGTACTCAAGAGTTACTACAAACTTGCCCACTTAGGTAGAGAAGGAATCAGTAACATTTACTAGGTATTCTGACCTACAAGATCATTCAGTGATCTGGTCAATGAAAATTTATATACTCAAACACTAAGACTCATAACACTAACCTTTAAAAAATCACACTAACACACAAGAACAAAGAATGCTATCAAAACGTTAAAATAACCTACCTCAACTTAAATCCTATACCTTTTTAAGCAAAGCTCATTTTGAACATGTAAAAGTGTATATTATTAGACATTTCTTGAGGGTCAAGTTGGAATATATAATACCCATGCCAGATTCTTAAGTAAACATAATGATATCACTGTACAACTACAATCATTAAATGCCAACGTAACATTCACTGTTATAGAAACATGGCTAAACATGATACAGCAAATTTTAACAACTTACCTGGGTATGGATAAAAGGACACAAGTGCCTACACTTTGAATTTTTCTATTGTAAATGATTCAGTCCTTGGACCTCAGTCATTCCAAATAATACAAGAGAATAAGAATAAAAGAACACAGCATATACAGTGGACCCCCGCATAACGATCACCTCCGAATGCGACCAATTATGTAAGTGTATTTATGTAAGTGCGTTTGTATGTGTATGTTTCGAGGTCTGAAATGGACTAATCTAATTCACAATATTCCTTATGGGAACAAATTCGGTCAGTACTGGCACCTGAACATACTTCTGGAGTGAAAAAATATCATTAACCGGGGGTCCACTGTATAGTAGAAAAACAGTTCACTGGTGAAGATCAGGTAAAGACAACAGACCATGTAACAGCCGTGTCACATGACAGTAGGGAATCAGTGTGTAGTAGTATCATATAAGCAAGGGTAGTTGAGATGGTGTATTTGCCAGATCTTTGTTCTATGGTGTATGCACTTGTATCCTTTTATCCACACTGTCAGTATTGTCATACCTTCTACTTGCATTTAACTGGATATATAACCATACATAACTAAAACCTGACTAAAAATATGAAGTGGAAATGCAGTTTACTACACTTATGATATGAAACTCATTAATTTAATATTTACTACTAGAGACAAGTTTGCTAACTACATATTTGCACAATTTACAAAAAAAAAAAAAAAAATAAACGCCCCTAAAACACTGACTGTGTCTGTATTATGTCAATATGCTAGAATCCTCATTACCTAAAATCATAATCAAACCCATAATTCTTAAAATAATTAAACTCAATAAAAGCCATATAGCATGTATTACTAAGATATTCAATTCTTCTGTATTCACTGTAACTTTTCATTTTATTTTTACAGCCACCTAAGAGACTGTATATAAAAGCGCTCAATTAGTCTTTGCTTTATTAACCTTAAGACAGTGTTAAGTTTGCCCGAAATGCTCTGCATATTAAGGTGCTTTCTGCATGAACACCTACAGCTTGCCCTCCAGTTTCACGAGTTCCACTTTCACATGTTCCATTTTCACAAGCTTCAAACATTTGCATATGCCCAGCTGCCCAATCATAACATGTATATATAATATTTTACGATATTTTCATGTGTTTTATGATTGTTCGTGGTTCAATAGGTTAAGGAAGCCGTGTTGTTAGGCTAACTAAATGCTATTTTTATATTTCCTTACAATATATTTGCACATCAAAACATTCATGAACGCTACAATACAGTACAGTTGTACCTGGGGATACAAACAGCTCAAAATGCGGACAATTATGTAAGTGTATTTATGTAAGTGCTTTTGTAAGTGTATTTTTGGGGGTCTGAAACAGATTAATCTAATTTACATTATTCCTCATGGCTTATGGGAACAAATTCGTTTGGTATCAGCACTCGAACAGCCCTCTGGAACGAATTAAGTTCATATCCCGAGGTACCACTGTATTATTATATTTCCCTACATCATACAGTGGACCCTCGACTAACGATATTAATTGGTACCCAAGAACGAATATCGTTAGTCGAGTTTTTTTATCATTAGTCGAGGCAACATGTTAGCGTTAACATGTATCGTTAGTCGAATTTAACGTTAGACAATGCCATCGTTGGTCGAGGGTCTACTGTATTTGCGCACCAAACATTTGCAAATTTTCAAGATTCGCAAAGTTCTTGATTCCCTAACACTCGCGAATGTGAAGGGCCTCCCATAAATGTCATTCAACTCTGTAAATTGTATCATAGTAAAATAAAGAATCTTAACCTTACAATAGGAGCAGTCTACTGACCACCTCATACCAATCTTAGATCTAATCTACAACAGTAAGGCAAGCAAACAACATTTAATAATAGCCTGAGATGTAGGTAAAACACAAGTATGCATTGAGCAAGTCATTTATCAAACATTTTGCCACAAATGACTTCTTCAGTACTAATACAATGTATAAGCAGTTTAAATAGTACCAGAGATCAGGTGAACAATGATAACCCTTAAACTGTCCAAACATAGAGCTACATTCACTCACATAGCACTCCAAATACTTTGAAAAAAAAAAAAAATTTAAATGAAGAGTACATTTTTCTACATGTTATAGGATAAAAAAAATATTTTTCAGGATCAGTACTTACCGAGATATAAGCCCGCGAAGTTAATAATAATAATAATATAATAATAAAGGTTACAATGTGTAATTACAATTTTGATTTGCTAAGTACAAAGATAGCCGCTATCATGCCAAGGCATTTCGGGCAAACTAATCCTAATACATAATAACTAATTAAAACTAGGTAAGAGAACAGTACATAGTAATTATACTAAACACTAAACATGGAATAGTGGTTAGCTGTTTTACAATCTTATTGGACTTAATAAATCTTATGTTTACTTAGTACAAAAACTAATTTACAAGGAATGGTGCAGGTGGTAATATTTTATGGAATTTAATTATTAATTTATTTATTTATGTCTTTGCAAATAGTACATTGAGATTTTGTATTTACAATAATGGGTTGCAATGCAAAGAGAGCCTCTATTATTGACTCCATTTGCATGTACATACTGGTGTCTGTCATTAAGTTAGGATTTTAGTTAGTCAAGAGAATGTCCTCTTATGCTGTAATGATTCAGTCTGAGGTGCAAGAGATTGTGGTCAGCTGTGTCAAATGCTTTTCTGAGGTCGATAAAGAGCCCCAGGGGATATTCATTTTTATCAAGAGCTGTGTATATTAGGTCAAGCATTTGTATAATAGCATCATTCGTGCTTTTTTTTGGTCTAAATCCAAACTGGCATGGGTTAAGTATGTTGTTGGATGTGAGGTAGGAATAAAGTCGCTTGTGTATTATTTTTTCAAATATCTTGGATAGTAAGGACAAGTTTGATATGGGTCTGTAATTGTTCAAATCAGTTGGATCTCCACCTTTGTGGATCGGGGTGACCCTTGCTGTCTTGAGTATGGATGGGAAGGTTGAGGATGCTATGGATTTGTTAAACATTGTTGCAATAATGGGCGACAGTTCTGGTGCAGCTTTTTTATATATGAGTGGCGGCAAGTTATCTAGATTACCTGATTTGTTTTTTAATGATTTAATGATGAGTGAGACTTCAGTGGGATTAGTTGGAGCTAGAAATGGAGTATTTGGATAGTTGCCAGTGAGGTACTCGCTCGGACAGGTATTTGAGCTAGGAATTTGACTCGCTAGCTTTGATCCTACAGTACAGAAGAAGACATTAAATTTGTCAGCCGTGTCTATAGGTTGCATGTGAGGTTCATCTGGTTTAGTTAAGCCTATTTTCATAATACATTTGCTTTGATTTACGTATTAGTTTTGCAAGTACTGATGTGCATCTTTTAGTAAATTCTTTAGTAATTAACCCTTTAAGGGTTTCGGATGTACTAGTACAGCTTATGCACCAGGGTTTTTGACGTACAAGTACGCCTAAATTCTAGCACCTTCAAATCTAGTGAGAGAAAGCTGGTAAGCCTACATATGAACGAATGGGTCTATGTGGTCAGTGTGTGCAGTATAAAAAAAATCCTGCAGCACACAGTGCGTAATGAGAAAAAAAAAACTTTGACCGTGTTTTTGGATTAAAACAGCGACTTTGCACTGTATTTTCGTATGGTATTTATTGTTGTATTCTAGTTTTCTTGGTCTCATTTTATAGAATGGAAGACATATTACAGAAATTGAGATGATTTTGACTGGTTTTACAATGAAAAATACTGTACCTTGAAATTGAGCTCAAAGCAGCAGAAATATTTGATTTTTGCCAAAGTTCAAAAGCAAACAAATCAACTCAACTGGTGAGTCTAATATTCTTTCACAAATGTGCTGATACCATTTCTAAACTAATGCAGTAGTCTGCATAACAGTAAATCTTATTTTTTTGTGAGAAAAATTCAAAGTGGAAAGCAAAAGAATGTAAGAGCGGCGTGGAGACGTGAGGAAACGTTATTTTAGTGCCAGGGATGTCTTTCTTGTTTATTCTGAAGCCTATTCGGAAATTGGCATCTTTTGAAATTTGTGTGAAATTGGCAAAATTGCTAATATCTGACCACTTTATTGGATAGTTGAAATCGGTAAATGGGTGGTTTCTTGTACTCATTCGATAGAAAAAAATGGAGTTCTAGCGAAAAAGTTATGATTTTTGTCGACTAGTACACTGGAATTGGCCGAAAATAGGGCTCAAAGTGGGCAAAATCGCCGATGCGTAAACATCGTCGAGACTGCTAACTTCGTGAGAGCATAATTCCGTAAGTTTTCCATCAAATTTCATACTTTTGGTGTGATTGTGACGGGGAAAAG